GCCATCGCCACCTGGCTTGGGAATTATTTTTAAAACATAGGACAGAACAATGTTGCTTATCATGGAGGATCTTGTCCAGCCCAGAGCCTGATACCAGCCAATGGACTACTGCAGCCTAATATTGTGGAGAGTTAGCAGACTGCAACCAAGGGGGTTGTATCCAACATACCAAATGGTTCCCATGTCGGCCCCATAGGCAGCAGTCACCTTCAGCCAGCCTCAGACCTTCCTTAGAGGAGCATGGAGCCTAATCAGTGATGATTGGGCAGTGAATTCCATATTCCTGAGGATAAAAAAGCCACAAGAATGAGAAATGTGGGTAAGGATCCCAAGTAAAGGACATTTCTGAGAACTCATTGAATGGGCTTTGGATGAAGCAGTGCGCTTCAATGACTTGCCAGGCCTACAGAACTGGAGACCATGGGTCAGTAAGAAAGGCAAGCCGCTTACCTTCTGACCTCCCAGCACAGAAACCCCTAGATACTCAGTTCCCAAAGGTAAGCCAGGACTCCAGGACTCCCACCTGACCTGTCAGTGAAAACGGAACCATCTTTTCCCGTCCAGTCCACACTGGCTCCTACAGCTCTAAACATCAGGTCAGATTTCCCTTTCCTGGCTGATCACACAAAGGTCGACCTTTATGTTGAAGATTAGGTCTTTCCCAGGAAACCCTCTGGTTCAGTCACTACCCTGGTTTCACTGAGTGACCCTTCTCATGGTTGCCTTTAGGTATAAACTCCAGCTGGACCGTGGGACTGGGGGTACTCACCACATTGACTTCCTGTCCCTGATACAGTCTGGCACTCTATGACAATCCTGCCTGAGAAACCTGGGCAAAGCAGCAGATACAAGAGTCTACACAAAGCATAGGCAATCAGGGAGGCCAAGGGCTCTTAAATCCACAGGAAGGATACCTGGGGGCTGAGGGGCCCATTTTCCCCAGCGTTCTGCTCCAGTCTTGGCACCTACTCAATTCATGGAGTTTGACTCGCACTAACCAAACTTGAAGTGTTGCCAAATGAGCAAACCGGGCAGGGATTGCAGGCAAGTCCGTTTGGCTGAAGAGCCAAAGCCATATGTATGACCTATCACCCCAAGGAGGAGGGACAAGGCTACACAGCTGGTGAGAAGCTGGTCATAACTCCTCCAGCCCTAGCGATGGGAATCAAGAAGATAAAAGCCTTCTGGTGCTTACACACTGCAGTCACAGCTCCCTTCTGACCCCGTAAGTGTTGGCATCACCGCAGCCCATGGCAGAAGCTGAATGGAGCATGAAGTGGATTCTGGGCTTGAGCCTCACCCTTTGCCTGATAGTCCAGACGGCCTTAGGTAAGATCTTCATCCCTCTGGGGTTGCCAGTCCCAGCTCAGCCTTTTCTGGACAGTGGGGCTTGGACAAGGTCTAGGCAGATGGAGGGCAGTGTTTCAGAGCATTCATGTGCTACCAGCTAAAAATCTGAGCACATCATTGTCCTCTCTGATCCCCGTGACTGCTCAGCAAAGTGGGGACCATGTCTCCTACCTCCTGGGATCACTGAGGGACCTGGGAACATGGCATGTCCATGTCCCTCCTTCTGGCCTTCCCCACTCCTTTCTGCCTGCCTTCTTCTAAGCAGGAGTCCCGCTTCTGCCTCTCCATGTCCTACACAGCCTTTTCACTCTCTGTGCCTTTCTCCTCAATGGCCTTCTTTCTAAAATGAACTGTGAGAACAACATAACACATTAACAACCTTTTATTGAGGTGTTAGATGTACATACAGCAAGATGGACATATCTAAACTATATGATTATTATATATAACTACACGTATATGATGAAACCACCATTCTGATCAAAATCTAGAATATTGCCAGTATCCTATGTGCTATTGCCTAGTCCACAGCTTCAAAGTGACCACTGTTCTGGACTCTATTGTTAATTGATTTTGCCTAAATAATTACATGAGGGTATTTTGTTGTTGTTGGTGGTGGTGGTGGTGGTGGTAGGTATTGTTTTTTTTTTTTTTTTTTTGAGACAGGGTTTCTCTGTGTAGCTTTGCGCCTTTCCTGGGACTCGCTTGGTAGCCCAGGCTGGCCTCGAACTCACAGAGATCCGCCTGTCTCTGCCTCCCGAGTGCTGGGATTAAAGGCGTGCGCCACCACCGCCCGGCAGGTATTGTTTTTTAGAAGCTTTGATAAAATTGCTTTTAGCATTTTGTGATATTAACTCTTCTTGCATATTTACATATAGTGGTGATGTTAGCATATAAACAATTTTATTTTTAAATTTTTTAAATTATATCTGTGTGTGTGTGTGTGTGTGTGTGTGTGTGTGTGTGTGTGTGTGTTCTTGCTTGTGTATGCCACAGCACATTTGTGGAGGCCAGAGAACAAATTAAAAGAATCAGTTTTTGCCCTCTACCAAGTGGATCCCAGAGACCAAGCTCAAGTCATTAGGCTTAGCGGCAAAGCACCCTTATCCACGGAACCGACCTGCTGGCCCTACAGTGTTATAATCTGCTTATTTTTTTCACTTAAATTCTTATGGAAGGCAGTTTATAGCTTAAGTTTATATTTGCTTGGCTTAGTTCACAGACATAAAGGAGGCTCCAACATCCACTGAGGTTCAGATCTGTCTTTGCTTTAATGATGTGGTACATCAGATCAGAATGGGATGTGTGTGTAACTAGCATCATATAGAATTGTACAAGTGAGCTGGGCGGTGATGGTGCACACCTTTAATTCCAACACTTGGGAGGCAGAGCCAGGCAGATCTCTGTGAGTTCAGGGCCAGCCTGGTCTACGAACGAGATCCAGGAAAGGCACAAAAGCTACACAGAGAAACCCTGTCTCCAAAAAAAAAAAAAAAAAAAAAAAGAATTGTAGAAGTGAGATACGAGCATTTTGCTAGATGCATATCTTATACCTCAATAAACTATTGCTAATGTGTTGTTTCATAGTTCAAAGAATACTGATTTTTCAAAAAGATACATTTTGTTTTAAAGTGAAGTCACCTAACCAAAGCATATGAACATTTTATGGCTCCTTGTATATTTTGCCAAGTTGTTTTTCCAAGGTGTTTTATCAGTTTGTCCTCCACCAACAATACATGTGAATGTTTTTTTCACTGTATCATCTCCAGAATTGGGGGCCACCATTTGTTGATTTTCCAGGTGTCACCTGTGATTCTAGGCCTTAATAGTACTTTATGGATACTAGTGTTGTTTGGTTGTGAGTTTCTTATTTTTGCTTCCCCCCACACACAAGGTCTCACTATATAGCCTAGGTCCTGTACTTTTGTGATGTGTGTGTGTGTGTGTGTGTGTGTGTGTGTGTGTGTGTGTGTAAATGTTTCACGTCTCCAGCTGGGGATGCCAGTCTAGCTGTCCCAAGAGATTCAAGTGATTCTCCCTGTTCCACTTTCTATCTCCCTATAAGAACAGTGGGATTAGACACCTGTGTGATGCATTCAACTTTTATGTGGGTTCTAAGGAATAAAACTCAGGTCCTCACTCTTGCACACACACACAAAAAAAAAAACATTTTTTTATCCATTGAACCATCTCCCCAGCCTTGAACTTGTGATCTTCCTGCCTCTGCCTCCCAAGTGCTGGATTACAGGTATGCTCCACAGCTGGTTTGTACTATTGTTTTGATAAGTGCTTCTGTGCTCCCTCCGGGTAACAGAGCTGACACTGGACTTCCCATGCTGCTCTTGTTCAGCAGTCTAGAAAAACTCTTCCACGTGGTTGTAATTGGCTCCCTGGAGACCAGGGAGTTGACAAACACCATGGTTTACAGCAGTCATGAGACATTCTCTATGTGATGTAAGACAAGTTACATAAACCTTCGAGCTTATTTCCATGTGTCTATAGGAATATTTGGGGATACCAGGGTGATGGTACACACCTATAATCCCAGATCTTAGGAAGTTGAGGCAAGAGGATCATGAGGGTTGTTCTGTGTGAGCATACATGTGTGTAGTGTATGTGAACACATGTATACAGATATGCCCATGCAAGCAGAAGAGGATGACATTGGGTGTCCTGTTTTACCATTTTCTGCTATTCCTTTTGAGACAGGGTCTCTCAACCTGAACCTGGAATGTGTCATTTTTTGGCAAGGATGGCTGGCCAACAAGCCTCAGCAAGGATTATGAGTTTTAGGTCAGTTTGAGCTACAATAAATAGCAAGACTTTGTCTCAGTAACAAAAACAAAAGAAAAACTCTGCCAGACAGTTGTGGTGGCGCACACCTTTAATCCCAGCACTCGGGAAGCAGAGGCAGGTGGATCTCTGTGAGTTCAAGGCCAGCCTGCTCTACAGAGCAAGTTCCAGGATGGGCTCCAAAGCTACAGTCTCGAAAAACAAACAAACAAACAAAAAAAAAGGCAAAAAAAAATCCAGGCATGGTGGTAAATACCTTTAATCCCAGTACTTCTGAGACAGAAGGCCTAGGAATTTGGTTCAGATTGGATGTTTTTAAAACATTATCTCATGTAGGCCAAACTGGCTTTGAAGTCATGTAGCCAAGGATGATCTTGAACTCATGATCTCCCTGCCTCGGCCTCCCAAGCACTAGGATTTCAGATGTATGTTACCTTGCCTGGCTTGGGAATCGTTTTTTGTTTTGTTTTGGTTTGTTTTTTTTTTTTTTTTGTTTTTTTTTTTTTTTTTTTTTTTTTTTGGCATCAATTCCTAAATGATTCTGATCCATGGCTAGAGTAAGTAACAACTTGGATCGCATTTGCTTTCTGTCACTTTACTGAGTGAACTCCAAGGAATGGGAACAAAGAGCAATTCTGTTTTGATAAGGGAGGAGAGAGAGAAACTGACAGGGCACTTAGAAAGGGACAATGGATGTGAGTGAGGCCTCAGCAGCACTTGGCAGTAGAAGTGGGGCAGGATAAGAGCCTGGAAGAGGAGGAGTACTTACAGGCAAGGGCTGGAATCAACCTAGTCTATTCCATATCTATTCCCAAAGCTGTCTGTGGTGTGAATAGGCTTGCAGTGTGTGTGTGTGTGTACACATTGTAAGTGAATACATTATAAACCACATATAGCTGCACTTGTATGCATATGTATACTCTCTGTGAACATGCATTTGTGTGCTTCTCCTGTATACCTGTGTATGTATAAATTCATAAGGGTGCATTAATGCAAATGTGTATGAGTAAGAATGTGTATAGATAATTCCAACCATCCCAGAAATGAACCAGGCAGGGCTTGGGAGGTGACTCGGTCAGTGAAGTATTTTCTGCACGTATGTGAGGACCTGGGTTTGGATGTCCAGAACCCATATGAAAAGCTGTGGGGTGCATGACTGTACCCATAGTGCTGAAGAAGGAGAAACAGGTGGGTCCCTGGGGCTTGCTGGCCACCTAGTCCAGCCACTCAGCAAACTCAAGGTTCAATGAGAGACCCTGATTCAAAAAAGAAGGTAAAGAACAATTGCAGAAAACATCAGAAATCAACCACTACCCTCCATTTGCATGTGTACAGCCACCACCACGGGCACATTTACAACACACACACACACACACACACACACACACACACACACACACACACACACACACTGGTAGGGAAAAAAGCAAATGAAAAAGAAACTAATCAAAAAACTAATTAAACCATTTAACAACCAGGGAAAAAAGTGTAGCCATGTTCACATCAAACAGAAGTTAAAATAAATGCCCCTTTCAGCCCTGCATGGTGGCACACGCCTTTAATCCCAGCACCCAGGAAACAAAAGCAGGTGGATCTCTGTGAATTTGAGGCCAGCCTGATCTACATAGGGAGTTCCAGGACAGCCAGGGCTACATAATAGAGAGACCTTACCTCAAAAAAATAAATAAACAAAATAAATGTCCCTTTCATTGATATTAAATGACATAAAGAGAAATGGTTTATATAACAGACATGAACTTTTATGTACCTACCAACATGGCTTTGGGATCTTAAATAATGAAGGAAATCCTCATAGATGCATAAGAGGAATAAGACAGATACACAATTGTTATTTTATATTTCCAAGTTTTTTTAATTGTTGTTTTAAACATAACTAGGCTGAGGAGATGGCTTAGTGGTAAAACACTTGCTGCATGAGCACAGAATTCAGATCCCCAGAAACGTAAAAAGCTGGTGGTCTTGCCAGCCTGCCTGCAATCCCAACCCAGGGGAGGCAGAGGTAGGGAATCCCTGGAGCAAGATATCTAACCAGACTAAGCAAAACAGCAGACTCTGGGCATGCTGACAGATCCTGCCTCAGTACATACAGTGGAAAACAATCAACTAAGACACCTGTTGTTAACCTCAAGTCTCAGTATGCACATGCACACATGTGCATCTACACACATGCCTGCACTTACACAAATGAACACACACTCGAGCATTAAAAAGTAGTGATTGGGGCTGGAGAGATGGCTTAGAGGTTAACAGCACTGGCTGCCCTTCCAGAGGACCTGGGTTCTATTCCCAGCACCCACATGGCAGCTCACAACTGATTATAACCCCAGCTCCAGGGGATCCAACACTCACACAGACACAAATGCAGACATAACACCAATGCACATAAAGTAAAACTAAATAACACATTCTTTTTTTAAAAAAAAAAAAAAAAGTAGCCACTGAGGACTGGGGAGGCGGCTCAGCAGTTAGAGCGCCGGCGGCTCTTCCACAGGAGCCAGATTCAATTCCCAGCATCTACATGGCACTTTGCAGATGCCAGTAACTCCAGTTTTAGAGACCCCAGTGTCCTGTTCTGAATGTGGTACGCAGATACACATGCACACAAAATGCTCACAAACATAGGATTTTTAAATAATAATAATTTATTGGTTGATTTTTATATATAAAGCAGCAGCAGCAGCTACCCAGGTCTGGTAGCACACTCCTGTAATCCCAGCCTTTGGGAGGCTGAGGCAGAAGGGTGATGGACTCTAGAGAGAGGTGGGGGAAGAGAAGAAAGAGAGGGGAAGGGAGGGGGAGGGGAGAGGGAATGGATCCCATCTGTGGCTGACAATAACGAGACAGGATGACTGTCCCTCTTCTCTTCCCAGGTGCTTTGCACACCAAGGAACCTCTCGTGGTCACCAAACACGGGATCCTACAAGGAAAGCAAACACATGTGGGAAACATAACCGTCCAAGTCTTCCTGGGAGTCCCCTTCTCCAGACCTCCTGTGGGTGCTCGCAGGTTTGCCCCTCCGGAACCCCCGCAACCCTGGAATGGCATCAGAGATGCCACCACCTACCCACCTTCGTAAGTGCCTGGGGATTACGGGCTGGTAGATGAGCAGACCTGATGAGTAGGGTGGACCAGTGCCTAAAATAACTCACTAGAAACACCCTATGTGACCACAGCAAACCCAGGCCCATGCTTGGCCTGTTTCCAAGCCTGTGTAATGAGGGAATTAGAGCAAACGGCATTTAAGGCACTGATCGAACTGTGTTGGGTTTCTCACGGGAGGGGGATGTGGTCACTGGCTTTGCCACAGGACCTTCTGGGAAGCTGAATTTCCCAAATGCATCCCACCTCCTGTTCCCATCCACACCCCTGGCCAGTGAATGATGGGCTCCAGCTTTGTAACAAGCCCACAGGATACTGTCAGCCACTCCCTGCAGAGGGCGCTCCAAGATGGGAACTACAGGGCTATTCCAGCTTTGAAGTTACCGTGTCTTGCTGCCACCTACATGTAGCCTTCACACTACAAGACTTGAACAATGATTGCCCTTTGGAGCCCTGGGCTTGGCAGCTCGGCCAAAATAAGTGTATTTACTGTTTATTCAGACTACTGAGTAATCAACTGACCATGACATTGTGTGGCAATCATTAATAATGTTTAGCAGCAACTAGTTAAAGCACAAGGTTTAAAACCTGGGTGCCAAGTGATATTTTTAAAAAAAGCTCTATAACTCCCACTTGAATGTCTATTTGTTTGTCTATTTGTTACAATTCCACTGTAAGGACATGATCAACCAGAGACCAAGGGTGGTTTTGCTCTATGCCAAGCATAGGAGAGGTACAGGTTCAATCTCGATAGACAGACAGACAGACAGATCAAGCCCCAGGCATTCTGATCATTCTCTGGTTATTATTTGGAATCCCTGATGGCAAAACATGGAATGACCATTATCTGAAACTTGAAGGTGAGGCTTGGAGGTGAGGGTGCCCATTTTATACACATGTGTGTGTCAGTCATTGGAACTCGCTATAAGCTGTCAGAACAAGGGATTTTAGAACTTAGAGAGTCAAGTGTAAGAATCTGTGGATTACTTAGACCATTCTGTAGGGCAACAATTAAGGGAGAGAGAAAAATGGTGCTTGTACAGGGAAGCTGGAAGGAAGTGTTTGGATTCTAAATTTGTTTTAAAGGGAAAGTGGATACTATTTTCTGGAGAATTGAATATGAGCCACGTGAAAAAATAATTTAATATAGTGACTATATTTTGCTCAAGAGAATAAGGGTGTCATTTCCCAAAGTGGTGAACTCTAGAGCAACAGCAAATTTGGGCAAAATATGAGAAAATTCACTTAGCTACCAAGCATATGGCACACACACATTAATAATCCCAGTAATTTGGAGACTGAGGCAGGAAGATCAAGAGTTCAAGGCCAGTCTTGACTACACAGCAAGTTTGCGGGCACCCTGGGCTATTTAAGACCCTACCTCAAAAGAGAGAGAGAGAGAGAGAGAGAGAGAGAGAGAGAGAGAGAGAGAGAAACAGAGACAGAGACAGAGACAGAGACAGAGACAGAGACAGAGACAGAGAGAGCTGGGTGTGATGACTCATGCCTTTAACCCCAGCACTTGGGAGGCAGAGAGCAGGCAGATCTCTACTAGTTTGAGGCCAGCATGGTCTACATACTGACTTCCAGGCAAGCTAAGGCTACATAGTGAGTGAGACCTTGTCTCAAAAAAATTTGTTAAATGATAGATAGATAGATAGATAGATAGATAGATAGATAGATAGATAGATAGATAGATAGATAGATAAAGTTTAGGGGCTGGAGAAATACTCAGGGGTTAAGAGCATTGGCTGCTCTCCCAAAGGACCTGTGTTAGATCCCTGATACCCACTAGGTGGCTCACAGCTTGTCTGGAACTCCAGTTCCAGGGGGATCCAATGCCCCCTTTGGTCTCTGCAGGCATTGATGCACATGGTGCACAAACATAGATGCAGGCAAAACACCTACACACAGAACATAAAAATAAATAAAATCCCCTAAAGTCTTTAAAGAAAAATGGGAACCTGTGCTTCATAGCAACTTCTAGGCTAGTCTGCGCTATAAAATGAAACACAGTCTCAAAAAAGCAAAAAGAAAAGAGAGAACTAAGAGAGAGAAACTTGGGCTCTCTTTGCTGAGACCTGGGTCAGCAGGGGGATCCACCAGGGAGATAGAGGGAAAAGTTGGAGAGTATAATGTTATAGAAACCTGGAGAGGGAATACTGTTCAAGCCCCAGAACTGTTTTTTCTCTGGCCTTCACATGCATTCATTGACCTGTACACACAAAAACAAAAGAAAATGAAAGTTGTCCTTTTAGGAAGAGAGCTCGGATGGCTGCTGGTAAGGGTGGTTGGGGACAATAGTTTGGGATGAGGCAGGTTGAAGTGTTGTGGGAAGGACATCTGAAAAAGGGAAAGGGGAGGTAGGCTGGGACAAGAGGGTAGCTAAAAGGAGAAACAGGCAGATAGGGATTTCAATCAAGTAAGGCCAGCTCCAGACTTGTAAGAATAGCCATTCCAGGGACTAGGCCAGCAGCAGAGAAGAGGGAGGTGGCCAGATAGCCCATACTCTTCAAATACTCCTAACGTCCACACGGTACCTGGCTGAGTGCTAGGACACACTGTCAGCCTGCATTCAAGGAGTGGTTGAGTCACCCAGGAGAAAAACAATTAATTGAAATAATTTCAACCAGCACTACGGTCAAGAGTGGAGAAAGGTTTGCAGGACACAGAGGGAGTGCCCATAAGCAGTGGGATACTGTTTGATCTGACCTCAAACAGAAGTAGGAGCTTGCTGGGCAAGGAAGAGAGCATTTGGCAGAAGACACGGTCACAAGGGCTTGGCAATCAGAGGCAAGCAGCCATGTCTCTCAGGAACAAAGGGTGGCTGGTGAGGTGACTGGGTGGGAAAGGGGCCTAAGCCAGACTGAGGGTGTATGGACTTCTCCTCTGAGGGCAGCGGAGAGCCAGGGAAGTGGGTTTGGCGGACATGGGTTCTTCCATGGTAGCTAAGGCTGTCCTGGGACCTTCTATGTAGCCCAGAACAGCCTTGATTCCAGGTCTCACAGGGAAGATTTTAAGAAGGAAAGTGCCATGGTCTGCGTTGTGTCTTGCTTTGTCTTTAATCACTTTTATCAATATCCTCCAGAGAACAAATTGGAGGACTGTGAAGAAGTTGGGGACAGGAGGGGTGTTCAGACCATAGATTTGATGGTCCTGTGTTTGAAGTGGGAAAGCATGTTCTAGAGCTCCTTGGCCTGCTTGGGAGATAAAAGAGTCTGGGAGGGTGGGACATGAAGGCAGAGAGGTACCTAGGGCACCCAAGTGTTGGCCTAGATCTCATCGGCAGTCTTCAGCATGAGCAACGACTACCCAGGCCAAGGGGTGAAGGGCAAGACTCATGGTAGAAGGAAGGATGGATCCTAGAGAGACCTGCCTGCCTCGCGGTCCTGGACCTGACTACTGGTCACGCACACGCGCACAGAGCCTGCCAGGCTTTTGTCTTAGGTTGCCCCCGCCCCGCCCCATCACTGTTGACCCCAGGATTGAAATCATTCTCTCCACTGCCAATCCAAATTCACTGTATGCCCACAGGTGCCTTCAGGAAACCTGGGGGCAGATAACCTCTCTATACTTAAACACGCGGAAGCGGTATGAGTGGCTGCACTTCAGTGAGGATTGTCTCTACCTAAATGTCTATGCCCCAGTGCTCGCGGCTGGGGACCCTCTGCTGCCGGTGAGTAGTGTTTTCCACCACCCGTCATCCCCCTCTACTACCCTACAGCCCAGCTCAGACTTTGGAGACCTTTCTTGTCCAGGTGATGGTTTGGTTCCCCGGAGGCGCCTTCCTCGTCGGCTCCGCTTCTACCTACGAAGGCTCAGAGTTGGCCGCCCGCGAGAAAGTGGTGCTGGTGTTTCTGCAATACAGGCTGGGCATCCTGGGCTTCTTCAGGTGGGCCTTGGACCAGGGGCGGGGCCTTCACCCACCTGCCTGAGGCACAGAAGGCGGGGACTGGCGGAAGGGGGCGTGGTCCGTGGACAGGACCGAAAGATGAAAGACGAGGGTGTTTTGGGCCGGGCCTGACCCGGTGGAGACGCTGGATACCGTCTCACGAGTGAGTCTAAGGAAGCCTTAGGTAGGGAGCCTTGGCAGCTCTCTGAATCCTGACCATCCAAGTTTGAAACACTGACCATGAATCTCCTGTGCCTAGCACGGGCGACAGCCAAGCCCGCGGAAACTGGGGGCTGCTGGACCAGGTAGCGGCTCTGCACTGGGTGCAGGAGAACATCGCGGCCTTTGGTGGAGACCCGGAAAGTGTAACGCTATTTGGCCAGTCGGCAGGAGCTATGAGCGTCTCGGGACTGGTGAGTGCGATTTCCATTGGACCAGCAGAGACACAGGCCAGCCTGTCCCCACACTGCACCTGGGTATCCACAAACCCGCATCTCACCCCTGCCAAGGACACCATTCACTCCAGGAGCACAGTCGCTCGCAGCCAACAAGGCTGAGGACCAGAGTTCAATTCCTGGAGCTCACAAGGTGGAATTGGCTCTGGCAACTTGTCCTCTAACCAGGTTTCTGCCATATACACTAAATAAATGATTTTCTAGAAAAGGAAAAAAAGAATAGCAATGATGAAAAATCCAAGCCCCAACGAGGACAGGGTGAGGCTTTGTGGGTGCCTACCACCTCCTGCTTCTCTCAGAGCCCTTTCCCGTAAACAGACGCCAGGATCTACCCTCTAGGCAGGGCTGTGGACAGCCTAGGCCTGGAAGTCAGGGGCCTGTGTTAGAGACTTCACAGGGGTGGAAGTGAGCAAGAATCACATCAAGTATGGTTGTGAGGGCCACAGTAGTAATAAGGCCCAATCTAAGAAGAGTTGAGTGTGTTGGTCCTAAAACTTGAGGGGATGGGAGAGTCACAGCTAACCTTAGCTACATAGTAAATTTGAAACCAATATGGACTACATGAAACCCTGTCATTAAAAAAAAAAAAATCCAAAGAGAAGGCAGATCTGTAATTCCAACATTCCAATAGCAGACCTGAAATGCCTGGCCAGCCTGAGCTACACAGCAAGGCCTTTCCTGTCCTAATTTTATCTCCGTCCTCATCTTTGTTCTTCTCAATCAATTCTCCCCAGTGCTCTCAGAGAACCAGCATATATACCGAAGCAGGAATTCTTTGGCAAAGCACTGCAAGGCTTGAAGCTTTCAGGGTCGCAGAGAGAGGTGATTAGGATCCACACATAAAGCAATAATTTTCAGCTTCCAATTACAACCCAAAAGGGGAGTGACTAAAGGGGAGTTCTCTGGTAGGGTCGACTAAAGGCTGAGATCAATTAGGGAATTTATGTGCTCAAACTATAATCTAGAAATGGCTAGATATAATGTTAGGGGTCAGCAAGTCACAAGAAAGTAAACTGTCTTTGGCGCCACTTTTCCCGCTTGTCCCGGCTGCAGCTGCTTTCTGATAGGGAGGGGGACATGTGCTAGGTGGCTAAGCGACCTATGTCAGAGCATGCAGTATTTGGTTAGTAAAAGCACTTTTGCTCAGAGTAATTGCTGAGGAGAAAATCTAGGAATAGCACCTGGCTAAGGAGGAATAAAAACTGAATTTGCACAAGAAAGAAGCTTGGCACCTATCACCTGTCTGGCCTTGGAGGCAATCTCCTTGGGTCAGTGGGAAGTAACTACCTTAACTCAGTAACTAGCAAATGGCTAAAACATCATCCCAGGAATGTGAGCAGTAAATCTCTTAAGTTAGGGTCTTGTATAAATAACATGGAGTGAAGGTAAGGAGTTGATATAATTGTTATGATTCTTTTCTCTGTCTGTGGGTGAGATGAGCTAATGTTTATCTATGTGCAGTTTTGTCCTTGGAAAAAGGTATCTTTGCTGAAGTACTTTTGTCTGAAGAATGGCCATGTTTAGATTTATGTTAATGAAAAATAAACAGAGCTGGGGACAGTTGTCCAATTACCTCAAATGTATAGGGAAAGTTGTGCCCAAGATTGAGATGCAATCGTGAGATTACATGTACATGTAACATGGAAATGCACGGTAAATGAGGAGAATCATAGCTGTTATTACACAAGAAGTTTACAACAAGAGACAGCCAGTTCATTCTAAAGGCCTTGCGTGATGGTTTCCTCTAACAGAACCCTTAGTTCTGACAGGTTGACCTTCTGAACTCTAGCTGTCACTGCTGTATACTCTCATGGACTTTTGCTACCAGTGGCTCTCAGTAGTTGGCCTCAAACTTGTGGCTTGCAGCCATCCTCCTGAGAGCAGGGACAGATTTTAAGCAGGGAAGTGATAAGATCAGATGTGGATTTAGAGAGGCCTCTCGGTCTTCTGCATGAAGCAGGAACTCAGTCTTGGAGGCCCAGTTGGGAGGTGAAGGAGCAGGGTTTATCCCAGAGGAGACAATGAGGGTAGGAGGAATGGAGAACAGAGGGCTGTTGCTGAGTGATTCACAGGACCAAATGGTCAGGAAGGACTGGAATAGTTACATGTGGCAGAGGGCAGAGGAGGGACAGCCCCCAAGCTAGGTAGATAATGTCAAAGAGAGGTTCTACCCAGTTGGAGGTTGACTAGAACAGTTTAAGACACATAAATTCTGAGGTATCCAAAGATATAACTTCTCTGAAAGAGCTGTTAGCATAGATAATTGGAGCTGTGACTATGGGGTCCCACCTACCCTCATTTGTAACCTGTAGCAGAGGAAGACCCCCTTAGGCATACCAGCAGATCACATCCCATATCCTCAGGTCAACTCTGGGACCTCTAGAGCCCATTACATAGACCAAAGACTGGAAGATGCTGGCTTTAAGTCTAGGACTCTAGCCTAAGACCCATGGCTCCCTCCAAGATGTCATCTCTCAGGTCACTGGGAAATGGTTAGGCAGGCACCCAAAATAAGTCAGTTGGCCCTCCCTATTTATGGGTCTCATGAGTGCTCTGCTTCCAATCCCTACAGCTGATGTCACCCCTAGCCCAAGGTCTATTCCATCGGGCCATTTCCCAAAGTGGTACTGCAATACTGAACTCCTTCATCACTCATGATCCATTGAAGGCAGCCAAGGTGGGCATCACTCTTCTCCCAGGGCTCAACAAGAAGGGGTAAGGATGGAGGCATCCCTGTATACCCCTTCTCTCTACAGAAGGTTGCTCACATGGCTGGCTGCAACCACAACAACACAAGGATCATGGTAGAATGCCTGAGAGCTCTATCAGGGGATGAAATGATGCATGTTTCCAAGAGGATGGTAGGTACAACATTCCAGTTGTCTTCCCTATCAGCCTGTGTACTATAGCCACCCATAGATACTTCCTGAGGGACCTGTCACTGGAGCACATTGGGAGTTTCTTTTGATTCCTATCTTCTTCTCTCCTTTATAGTCATTCTTTCGTGCCAATTTCAAGAAAGATCCAAAAGATGTGAGTAAACAGTGGCCTGCAATTTGAGTGTTTATTGAATACCTACTATGTGCCAGGTCCTTGGGATACTTGAGGAACTATGCAGGCCAAATTCCCTTCCCTAGTGGAACTGATGCCCCACTGGAGAGAGAGAGAGAGAATAAGCCCTATAAATAAGTAAATTACTCAGCTCCCTAGAAAGCAATAGCAACAAGGAAGGGGTCAGGCATGATGAGAGATATGGAACCTTAAATAGAATGGATAATAAATGCCTCATTGAAATGATATTTCATAAGGATTTTCAAGAGATAAGGAATGAACTATGTGTATGCATGAAGCAAGCATCTGAAGTTAAGTAGCCTGGTCCTGTCTGTCCTGGTCCCTCCCAACACTCACCTTCTTAAGTATCATTATGGGCAATCTTAGTTTTTACCAAAAGAGCTTAAGCTAGAGCAGCTCCTGGGACAGACCTGATGAGCTGAGCATCCAAGTCACCAAGGCTCTCGGAGGGTATGTGGGATGACTAGCTGGAAAAATGCCCCTGGCCTTGCAGGTTTTATGGTTCCTGAGCCCTGTGGTGGATGGTGTGGTGTTCCCAGAGGACCCTGTGGTGCTCCTGACCCACGGGCAGGTTACACCTGTGCCCTACCTTCTAGGTGTCAACAACGCAGAGTTCGAGTGGGCCTTGCCTTTTGTGAGTGGATGGGAAAGGTGCTCACTCAGTGGGTTTGGAACGGGATGTCCCTTGAGCAGTGTGTGGGTACCAAGTTAGATCTCAGTGGCCCCATTGAGGATGTAGACATTGCTTCTATTCCCTGTTCAGGGAGAGCTGACCAGGAGTGATGGAGGGGAATTGGGAGAGGTGTAGTCAACCCCTGAGCCTGCAAACAACCATACACCTTAGGGACCTCCTTTCTTCCTTCCTTGGGTCAAGGCAGATGCTGTAGCTCAAGACAGGCTCTCCCAGCTCTGCTTCAGCTCAGAACTAGGTGCTAATGACAGACAGTGAGCAGGACAGGTTGTGGGTCTTTCTTGGGCTGTCTTGTCTGAGAATTCTATATGCAGACAGGCACGAACTCAGGCCTGATTCAACCCTGGGTCCTTTTCTTGTGAGCAGCTCATGAAGCTCCAGATAACTCGGCATATGATGAACAAAAAATACTTCACCAAACTGCTCTGGAATTTCAGCATCGTACTGGTGAGGGGTCCCATGGTTTGGGTTGTTTAGTGTGAACAGCACTGAACACCACACACACTTCTTTAAAAATGTAGGACATGCTCTATGCAAGGGTTCCTGGGACCTTAAAGGAGTTTGACATGGGATGAGATGGTTGCTGATGGGCAAGGTCTCCGAGGCACTCTTAGGGTCCTGGGAGGCAGTTCTCCTGTGGCAAAAGTGGGGGTGGGGGGATTAAGAACAATCAGAATGGAGATCTTCCTAGAAAATCCATTCCCAAAAGTCCTAGGGAGCTGAGGCTGGGTACAAGTGAATGGTGAACCCACCCATGGCCCAGCTGGTATAGCAGACCTCAGGGTGGGTCTTGCATCCCTGGCCCAGAATATCACTAAGGAGCAGATCCCACTGGTGATGAAGGAATACTTGAACGATGCTGCCAATAAACATGACTGGACGATGTTCCGAAACCGGGTGATAGACCTAGTTGGAGATGCCACCTTCGTGTACTCCACACTTCAAGCTGCACGATACCACCGGGGTATGAGGCCCCTAAGAATAATCATACCGCTTCCCTGTACTGTCCAGCTGAACTGCTTCCAACTGGGGTCACCAGCTCTTCCCACACACACTCCATACTTTGGGCTAGTATAGGACTCCAAGAGACCACAGAGAAGGCAGCAAGCCAGAGGAAGAGCTGTCCTTAGGGATAAGGGCAGAACCTCAGCCACCCTAGAGGAGAAAGCTGGGGTGGTAGAGACAGTACCTAGGCTAAGAGGATGGGCTTAAGAGCAACTTAAAAAGCAGGCTGGCCGGCGGCGGTGGTGGTGGTGGTGGTGGTGGTGGTGGTGGTGGTGGTGGTGGTGGTGGTGCACGCCTTTAATCCCAGCACTCGGGAGGCAGAGCCTTGCAGATCTCTGTGAGTTCCAGGCCAGCCTGATCTACAGAGCGAGATCCAGGACAGGCACCAAAACTACACAGAAACTCTGTCTCGGGGGGGAAAAAAAAAAGGCTGATTGGGCTTGAGAATATAAGGATGAGAGGTCAAAGGTGAGGCTGGAAAGGACAGCCATTAAAAGCCCTTAAATACAGTGTCCAGAACAGAAGGCTCAGAAGAGGGGAGAAGGCAGCTTCCATGATCCTTGCTATAAGCTTGCCAATTAGGTTTTAGTGTCCCCAACTCTGCAGATGAGGAACTGCAGCTCAGAGAGTTTGACATACTGATGGCTAGTGAGGGCAGGATTCTAAATTGCTCCATGACTGTAAAGCTGAAAGCCTGCCTGATGTCGGTGGGTGGGACACATTGGGTAGGCGGGGAGCTTAGCTCAGTGAAGGCTCTTCCTGCAGCCCTCACCCATTCCATTTATTCACAGATGCTGGCTTCCCTGTCTACCTGTACGAGTTCAAGCATCATGCTCCCTCAGGCATAATTGTCAAACCTCGACGTGATGGCGCAGACCATGGAGATGAGCTTTCCTATATCTTCGGAAGCCCTTTCTCCAAAGGTCCTAATGCCCTACCTGACACCTAGTCTCCCCACCATGTATGAAGACCCACACCTCCATTGGCTGACCACAGGGAACTACCTACTCCCTAGTGTGGAATGTACTCACAAATGCAGAGTGGGAGGCTGATACCCCTAGATCTTTCCAAAATACCACGTCCTCTTCTGCCCCCAGGCTCATCCACCAATGAGGAAAAGGAATTCAGCCTCCAGATGATGAAATACTGGGCCAACTTTGCCCGCACTGGGTGAGTCTAGCCCCTTACACATATAAATAATACTAGAACCACAGGCACTGGACAATCAAGCCTGGGCCCTTCTCCTTTTCCTTGTCAGTCATGGGATCTTAAATGTCCCTAGAATGTGTCCCCTCTGTCCAGTGGTGCACACTCTTAATTCATTCATCCAATAGTATGTCACTGATGTTCTCCTTTGTATCTGACCCTAGTCCTGGAAGCTGGGGTTCAAGGATGGCATAAGCATGTGCTACATCCTCCTCACCCCACCATATGAAAACCGAATTCCAAACAGGCACAATGGGAGCTGTCCCACTGGGAGCACTGGGCCTTAGAGCAGCAAGGAGGGGCCTGGCCCTATTTGAGTGGCAGAGATGGCTCCCAGTGGAGGTGACACTTGAACCAAACTTTGGGTCCCCCATGCATGTCTTCCTGGCCCCACCTTCTCTCCCCCCATCATTCTGTGACACTAGAGGAGTTGTTCTGAACTATCACCTAGCCAAGCTACTCACTTGCTTAAAACCCTTGCTCATGTTCCCAGAGTAAAGCTCCATTCCCTTAGCTTGTCATGCAAAGCCAAGAATTCTTCCCATGTCATCCTCATCCCTTCTGCACACCCATCCTCTTTATACTCGCCTTTATATTTTACCTCACCTTGCACTACCTGGAAGCTCACTTCTCCCACCTCCTTCCCTGGGGCTTGCTATGCAGCCTACACTGGCCTCAAACTCACAATTCTCCTGCCGTCGCCTCCTGAGTGCTGGGAATCTAAGTGTTCACCTCACACCTAACTCTCCTACTCTTTCATAAAGACCTGTCTAGGCATCATTGCCACAAAGCCTTCTTGGATCTCAGCTTCCCAAGTGAAGGCACATGGAAGAAGGGTAAGAGGCACAAGCCGAATAAAAAGGAGTGACAGATATCTCTTTCTACCTTGGGGTCAGGGACCCCAATCACAGAAAGCTGCCCTACTGGCCACGCTTTGACGAGGATGAAAAGTACCTGCAGTTGGATTTTGACACAAGAGTGGGTGTGAAGCTCAAAGAGAAAAAGATGGCTTTCTGGGGAAGGCTGCACCAGCCCCGGAGAACTTAGAAGCAGCAGCGACACTGAGAGTGACCAAGCAAGAGGGAACTATCCTCCCGGACATCCTGCCTCAGGGAGAATGGCCATGCGTACAACTGAGGACAGCAGTCCTGTCCACAAATTTAGGACCTGTAGATGCTCCCAGCTAGCTTCAGGCTATTGCTGGAGCCCTAGCCCATCATGGGGCTCAGCACTACCTGTCCAGCCTGACATCCCATGGCACCCCACATCTCACTGTCTAAACCAGGCCAGGGCCTTTCATCACACCGTGCTCTGCTCCCCACAAGCTCAGCCTCAGGATAATCTCTTCTCTCCCTTTTACAAGTCCTCTTACCCTTCATGATGTATTTGCAGCCCCCTCATGGAAACGTCACACAGGCTGTCATGTTCTGTCATTGCACCCTGCTATCACTGATCATCTACCCTCTTCAACCTACCTGCTCATGCTGGCCTTGAGGCCCCAAACAATCTATTCATGATGTGGTGCAAAACTTTGATAGCTCGGGATCTGTTCCCCTACCCACACTCATCTCCCCTGGGGCCCTTCCAAAGCCGGTACCTAGGGATGATGCTCAATTAAAAAAAAAAAAAAAAGTGTTCTTTTGATCTTCAATTTCTTTCTCTGTAAATGATTGGGTGAAATGAATGTTATCTCAGTTTGAACCCTTAGGGTAATAAAATATTGCTACTTGCTGCTTCTTGTTCTGTATTTGCTAGAGGGGCTGAAGCAAAGTCATTTAGAGTGTAAAACATTTAGCTAGTGCCGGATGTGGTAGTTTATAAAAAAGAGGTAGCCCACTTCGGAGTCTGCACAGGACACATCCAGACACCAAATTCTCAGCACAAAGGAGATTGATTACCCAAGAAGGGGAAAGGGGGAGGGGCTGCAAAGGCAAGCAATAAGCTGCAGCAGCAGCAGCAACAGCAGCTGCAGCAAGCAAGCAGGTGTTTTTCTCAGGAGTGGGTTTTTTGTGTTTGTTTGTTTGTTTGTTTGTTTGTTTGTTTAGGGGTGGTTTTTTGTTCTTGTTTTTTGTTTTGTTTGTTTATTGGTTGGTTGGGTGATTGGTTAGTTGGTTTTTCAAGACAGGATTTCTCTGTGTAGCCCTGGCTATCCGGGAACTCACTCTGTAAACCAGGCTGGCCTCAAACTCAGAGATCCACCTGCCTCTGCCTCCCAAGTGCTGGGATTAATGGTGTGTGCCACCACCCAGCAGGAACAGACTTTTAAGGAGAAAAAGGGGGCATCTGTGCTAGGGTGAGTTGGTAAATCCTGCTAGGATATGTTAGCCAAATAATTAATTTTGATTGTTGGGCCTTAGTATTTTGTCTCAGGAATGAGTCAGTGGATAAATAAGGGAATGAAGCTTGGGGACTAGCTTTAGAAATGTAATGTAATGGTTGTTAGCATTAGGGGAGAGCCGGAACTTGTCAGCACCAAGTTTGCTGTGCTCTGGCCTGCTAGAGCCTTTCAGTCACAAACACTTGTAATCTCAGCATTTGGAAAGTGAGAAAGGAGAATCCAGGTGTTCAAGGGCATCTTCAGCTACACAGAGTTTGAGTCCAGCCTAGATGACATAAGACTCCATCTCAAAAACAACAACAAAGCAGAGAGAAAGAAAACCTTGGCTTGCTCCTTCTCTATCTTAAATGCAACATGCCTCTACCCCAAGGATATCAGGACACCACACCTCATGTTCACATCCATTCAGATCTAACCTTTCTATCCTGACTCTCCCAAACATATCCCAACCTGTTCCACAAAATTTGTGTTCTCTCTCTCTCTCTCTTCTCTCTCTCTCTCTCTCTCTCTCTCTCTCTCTCTCTCTCT